ATATTTTTTGGAAATCAACTTATCAACTTCTCTAAAAGCAGGCCAGTTACTCAAACAGTAAATATGTAAAGTTTAAAAACATGTGTTTCCATGTGTTTCCTGTCCCTCCACATCCCCTCCACGGGTATTGTTGCTGCCATTTCTCCGGCCGCCCAAGCCCTGCCGCCGTGCCTCCAGGCTCTACCGCAGCCGTTCGCGAGTGACGCGAGTGACGCGAACGTCACGCCACTGCCACGTTCGCAGCCACGTTTGACGCGTTCGAAGCGTCCGGGAGACGTGCCAGGGACGGAGAGGACACTGAAGACCGAGAAGAAAAAAAAAGGGGGCGGTGAAGAGAGACGCTTTCGGTCCAGGCATCGTGGCGTCCGTGGACCCTGGACCATGGACCATGCCCGCGGGCATGTGCACCCCTAAGAGGTTCCTTAGTAGTCCACTGGGGTATAGGTGAGCCATTTAGGTTCGAAAGAACAATCCTGGTCAGGCAAAACAGCTTCAGGAGTGTAGATCTTGGCATCTTGGCCCAACCAAAGCTCTTTTTGCTAATACTCCTTAGCTGGGTAAAAGTAGCCGCAAAAGTGCTCGTCTTGAGGTCGGCACCAACAATCAACATCAGAGGTCCTCCAATACCCTGGCCCATACCTAAATGTCTGGAATGGCAGCACTTTTGAACGTATGGACATTGGAACTCCTGCCGCCCGCCATGGAGTAGGATGAATAAAAGTCAAATGTTCCTCAAAGTGTCAAGAAACTCCATGATAGGATGTGCCGATTGATCAACTGTCATATTTGCTTGGTGTAAACATGACCCAAATGCAGCAGTTGCTAGCGATGTGTTTCAACTACCGACATCAGAATTCTCTGGCATCTATGTTCCCGGAGCTAGAACAACCCAGCAAAAGCGAAGTTCTTCTCTGAATTGAACTGCATTGTAGTTTGGATGATGTTCGAAATGGGGGGAGGTTCTGTCTTGGGTCATATCATCGGGATCCACTTCCATGATATTTGGATATAGAGGCTATCGAGTGAAATGGTAATTGAGTTGTAACACATTACTCTAATAAGCTCAAGAGCTCAGGAGGGAACTATAAAGAGCTGGGGGTATCCAGTTCTTTCCCATCAAAAAAAGGAATCCCTTTGTAATTAGCGACCACGGGAGTCGATTTGGATCGAAGAGGCCATTCCTACGTCCTTCGCAAGCTCATGCTGCTGATGTGTCCCTTCCTGAAGATGCAGCAGGCGCGTGCGCTTTTGCGCGCTTAGGGCTGGCCACCGGCCCCGTGAACGCGAGCCACGGATCAGCGTTCTGGTTGGCGAACGCAGGTGGAGATGGTGGAACAAGTGGGGAGGAAGACACTTTGCTTGGAGTTGAAGATTGTGGCCATAAAACAACCTGTTGAGGGTCCGGTTGACCTGATTGAAGCACTCTTCAGTGAGGTTCTTTGATTTCCTAAAGGACTTGTCCAAAAAAACCCACCATCACCATTCTTCTCTCACGAACGCCCATAGTTCTTCGCTTGCTTCATCATATGTCGCAAGAAGAATTAGATACATTTGAGAAGAATGGCCCCACTGATTCTCATGATTCTACATTGAGCATGGGCCTTCAGATTGCCTTAGCCAAAAAATAAAGTAGTACCTGGACCTTCAGATGACCTAAATGCTTGTGGGAATCCATGAACGAGGAAAAAGAAAGCCATGTGGACGCCAAAACACGTGCTTGCTTTTTGGCCAAAACACGTGCTTGCTTTTTGGTTTCTCACCTCGCTATCAAACTTTGGTCAGTTTCCTCCTTGTCACAACAAGACGCCAACGTTCAGCTTTTGTCTTTCATACAGGTGCAGTGTTTGTTTCATGATCACTTCCTGCAGCCCGTAGATCCTCGCAAAGAGGTTGGTTTTCCTCCAAAACCGCTGCCTGGCGCCCAGGGGCAAGGATACGCCACTGCCTCAGGGGATCCTGCGGATTTCGCTGGTGGAACAGATCGAGTGGGATGGAAACGAACATCCAAAATGCCAAATGCTGTCCCTCCTAGAACTTCGTTACGGCAATAATTATTGCCGTTTTCGTGAAACGTCGCCTTTTTCTGTCCTGCGGCGTTCTTCCATATTGATCTCACGGGGACGGCGTTGATGAACTGCGGCAGTTTCGGTCAGTTGACGGCAGTTTTGGTCCACACATCCATGCCTCAAAGAGTAATTTCCTTTTAGTGTAGGCGAGTATGAAGACATTATAGGGTCTTGCTTGAAAGGCAACTGAGCGTAAAAAGCATCTAAATTCGCATGGTCGTGCTTTGCATACCCTAACCACGAGTGTGATTCACCGTGTGAAGTGGAAAGGGCATCTGATGGAAGTGTCACATGCTGGGTTTTTGTCGGCTTTCGTGAGTAACTCGACCTCTTGCGCGGCACTGCAGAAGACTTAGCATTTAAAAAAAGGGCGCTCTTACCCGTACTTGCGGCGCTTTTCCCCGTGCTTACGGCGTATTTCCAACGGCTCACTCCAGCAGGCTGTGAGGATCGGAGATCGGGAGATTCCTCTCGAGTTCGCAAGCGGTTGGGATGCTTATTCTTCTCAAAATAGATGAAGGACCATCTGACTCAGCTGTCCAAAGTGGTGCGCCAGCACGACCTGTACCTTGGCTTGCAGGTAGATGAGGAGGGCTTCGCCGACATCGACGAAGTTGCTCGCTATTTCAAATTGAACAGCAGGAGAGCTCCAGACTTCACCATCAAGGACATCATCGCTATCGCCTCCAAAGACAACAAGAACAGGTTTGAATTCCTGGGGATCAAGGAGGGAAGCAAGAAGGATGCCAAAGGAGTGAAGCTCTGGCCCTTTAAGATATGAGCGGCAGCAGGTGAGAGCAAGCACGCCATTCGCAAAGCTGAAGATGCTTACCGCGCCTCAGAGACCCGCACCCTCTCTGAAAGACACTCAAGGTGGCAGCAAGACTTGGGACAATCGATCCTTTCAGCCATTGTGTGGTCAAAATGTGAACAAATCCTGCCGTGATGTCGATCGAGACCTTAGACAGGGGTTGTAACATCTTAGTGCTACCATGAGGCTTGAAAACGATGAACTCTAATTGCAAGTGAAAAAAGAGAAGGCAGTTTCAGGGTATGGACGGACCAAAACAATATCCTCTTTTGTATATCAAACAACATGGCGGTTCTTTTTTGTAACGGCGCTTTCACTTCTCTGACGGCATTTTCACTTCCCATGGATTGAGCTATGGCAGAAAAATGAGTTACGGCCAAAAAATGCTTCAACAGCCTACGGCAAAAACTATTGCCTCGGGAGGGTCTAGGTATACATATATATATATATATATGCCCAGTCAGTGGAGAGTTTTTAGCCTTTGTGGGGGATTGGTTCCCCCACCAAACATGAACAGCCAGGATGGAAAAGGACTATCTTAGAAAGGTACCGGGCGACTGTGTGGCCATGCAAAATTCATTGCATGTAATTACTCTCAACGCTTCATGTGCCCACCTCATAGGCATCTGTGCCCTATCTTTTTCAAGATGTGAAGGGCTGGCTTTAGAACTTGGTTCTGGATAACATTCAAGCGTCCGGTTTTGAGGATGGCACCGTACTAGCAGGCCTATCATTGAAGGTTGTTGAAGGTTTCTGGGGAGAAACAACAACTCTGATCTAAAGCCGTCAGTCTTCAGCACACCGCCTCACCATGCAAACCAAGAGATTCGCCTTGCCGTTCAAGAGGATCAAGCGAGCTTCGATGCACGCCCTCGCGTCGCCCGTCCTCTTTCCAGTTTAGGGTCAAATATGGCGGGCCCACAGGCGTCGATTGATTCGAGCCAGGCTCAGCGAGGCCACTTTGGCGTGGTGGTGCGCAGCGAGTTCGGGCCGCTGCAACTGCTGCAAATGGCCAATCACGTGGCGGTGGACGATTTGAAGGCACGATGGACGTTGCTGCTTCCAACTCTTTGACATTCATGTCTATGCTTTGTGGATGGTGTTGCCATCGCCAATCGATACAGGTGGCATGGTCAAACTTGACGTGGATGGACTGGCCAGCAAGCTGATTCGCCCGGCTCGCCGCCGCTCAAATTCCACTACCAGTGGCTTCTACCCCTCCTCATGAGGGGGACTTGGACAGTATTTGTGTTTCACAACCGCCGCCTTGGCCCAGGCTTCACCCCATCACACCCGGGTGTTGCGCATGGATGCGGACGAGGAAGTGGTAGAGGCCGAGCCTAAGCACGAGGCTCCAAAGCCCAACCCATTCCCCCGATCATTGACGATCTTTTCGGGAAAGCCTGCCTCAAGGATCCCTCCAAGGCGTCCCCACTCCTCCGTCACCTGCTCCAAAGCGAACCAAGATCGTCTTCACTTCTCGCAACAGCAACGTTGGCTTTAGACCGAGGAATGTCGCAGGCAAAAGGAAGCTAAATGCAATTGATGGCAGCAGAAATGAAAGCGCCCCCAAATCCCGTCCCCTTACCACGATGCATCTGGAATCATTTGACCTAGAGAATATATGCTCCGGATGTTCATCACCAGTGGCTGCAGCCTTCTCGGGTCAAGGGACGGATCCAGCCGGATGGAAAGCCGGGTGGCCGAGCTCGAAGAGGAAGTCCACACCCTCCGTCAGGAACTGCTTGAGTTGAAAAGTGAGTTTTTGCGGCTGCGCCGCCTCGTTCTCCCCCGTTCAGAGAGTTCATCGGTTCTGGACAGCCCTGTTCGACCAGCTTCGGCCAGTTCATTTAGTGTTGTGAGCACTCGTGAAGTTCACTCAGAGCTGGATCACGTGCTCCATCGTGAAGGACTGCGCGACAGTCGGGAGAGCCTGCGAGACAGTCGAGAGAGTAGGAACAGTAGGTGCACACAAGACTCCTACCCGGCTCGTGCATCTTCATACACTCCGACCGAAGCCGCCAGCCGCTCGCTGTCGTGGGAAGAGCGAGAGGCAGTCTGTGATCAGATTGCCGCCTGGATCCTTCGTTGTCTTCGAGGAGAACATCGCGGTGCTAGTGGAAGAGATCAGATCCCGCTTGCCAGTCGAGTTTGGGTGGTTGCCCGGGACTTTGAGGGCCTGATCTATCAGCCAGTCCGTGTCTTCCGGACGTTCACTGCTGCTCGGCCTCTTGTGAAGCGAGGTACCGATTGTGGAGACGCAGTATTCATTGGTGTGCCATCGGAACGTGAAGCTCGCCGGATCGTTGCCTCAGCCCAGTTGGGCTGGCCCACCATTGAGGGTTAAGAGATGGAACCTGCAGGAGACAGCCTTGAGGAACACCCGCTTGAGACTGTCTTGCTGGAGGGAGGAACAGTGAATTTAGAATATCAGTGCATGTGTTTGGAGAGCGCTGTTCAGGCTTGGACCGAGCAGCAACTAGTTGAGGTCGTTCCAGTTGGTTTTGTGCAAGGCAAGCTTCTTGTCGCCGCTCCTCTAGGAGCCTGGCATCGGACAGTAGCCAAACGAGTGCTGCCGGCGCGGGCTTTGAGCAAAGCAGTGGTAGTTGAGGTTGGCCTATGCAGCCCTTTTCAGCGAGAAGCTGCCGAACCAGAAGAAGTTGTAAGGCTATGGATGGGCTTCCTTGCGGAGACCTATGTGGGGGCCCTTCGCCCGATCGCCGAGATGGACGAGATCGGGCTTGCTTTTGCAGAAGGAGAATTCACGTCGTATTTGCCCTTGGCCGATGGGATGCGGGAAGCTGCACAGGAACACTTTGCTTTCGAGTCCGCCACGGAGGGCATCCCAAGGAGCTCAACAAGTATGAGGACTCGAGCCGACGATGTTGGGTCGCCGGCCCTCTCCTCCGAGCACCGGATGACCCGTATAAGAGATGATGGAGAAGTTGGTCGCACGGGTCGACATGATGACTCACCCTCTGCATTCACCAAGTTCGCATGCCACACATACTCGGCCTTCGGCCTTGAAAAAGAAAGAGGCGACTCCGGTTTCAGTCGATGCTGCCTTGAAGTACCCCAACCTGGACCCTGGCGTTGTGTTAGCAGCAGTCAGTGCAGGTGTGGAGGAAGATGCCCTTGCGCAGATGCAGAGGCTGATGCAGGACGGCCAGAAGAAGCAGAAGAAACTAGCAGATCCAGGAAGCTCTCCTTGCCCCCCTGGTTTGACAGTCAATGCAACTGCCCGTACTGGTTTGTCAGAGTGGACACAGGAGGTAGACGGGGGCGAGCCTGCCGCCGCTTCTGGGTTGGGACAGCATACAGAAGAGTCGCCAATAGTACACGCAGTGACCAAGTTGGCAGAGATTATGTCGGTGCTTGCAGCAGACAAGATGAAGAGGGGCAAGGGCTCAGTCGAAGCTGCTCTGGATGGGATATCCTCACCTGGGGTCGCAGAGAGTGGAAGCCTTGGCTCCGGGAAGCGAGCTGCTGCTGCCCGGAGGGCTCTCCGGACAGCTTTGCAAGAGAACCCATCCGAGATCCATCAACTCCTGGAGCGTGCCATGCTCGAGGATCTGACCAGCCAGACTCTGGTCCCGGGGCAGCCTGCCCCAGTTCTGTGCAGTCGGGCTTGGATAGAACATCGGTCTCGCATTGGTCATTGGAAGACAGCAGCCTATACAGCATGGACAGCTGGTGGTGCCTTGGACTGTCTGATCAAAGGCGATGTTGCTGGTGGCCGCGCTCGTCTATGTCTGCTCCTGCTGATGCTCGACCAGACTGCTTGCGATCGAGGCAGTTGGACGTTGTCCTCCGAGCTCTCGCTCGAATCAAGCCCTCCAATGGCAGTCTTAGGACAGCACCAACCCCCGGCCGTGGCGGAGGGCGAGCAGCCCTTTTCCCGTCTTCTCGATCCTCGTTGGGCGGAGGTTGCCACATTCGGGACACCGAGGATTTCATGTCGAGGCGGCTGAAGTTGGGCAAGAAGGATCAGAGCGAAGTCGACGGAGATCCGTCAAAGTCGAAACCAAAAGCAAAGGGCAAAGCTGCCGAGAAGAGCAGC